CATAATACAACTGCACTTATCCAGGTGAAACATTTCTGCAGCATATAAAATTGTTGAGGCTGCTTCCAGTATGACAAACTGAAACAAGAAATATATAATAAAACCTGCAATCTTGACTCATCTCCACCTATGGACATGAGTTTAAATGTATTTTTTTGGCTATTTGATGCATGCGCATGAATTTTGTTGATGTTTCCGTACTTGATGATATATGTATTTCCTTTTGTAAAACATTATTGATTTGTATCTGTGCTGGTCGGCAGGTACCTGAGCTGCTTTTGCTTTTTGGCCGGTCATGGTGGGGGTTTGCGAATTGGGAGTTTGGGTGGAGTGTGTAAGTTGGGGAAAAGGTGTAGGGAAAATATTTTATTTCTATTTTTATACAGATGTAATAAATCACTGATGAAAAATTGTATACCAGTCAGAGAGGAGCTATTTATGTGAGTGTTTTTCCCTGACTTCGTAAGTATAGTACCATACTGTAGCATCAGAGGGGAGAAAATGACCTTAATCTAGCTTTTTGTGTATTCTAATGACACCCGTTAGAGCCTACTCCAAGCTTGAAAAGTAAAGCAGAAATGTCCTTGAGCAAGGCACTGAAATGCTCCAGTGGAGCTGCTTAGTGGCCAGAGAGTAGCCTTTTATCCAGCTGTATCCAAGCGTGAAAATGTGTAATGGTATAAATATGAGTCGAGGTGCTGCATGATAAATCAGCCATAGCCTGAAGGTTATAAGAAAGATGTCTCTGTGTTCTTTGACACCGGGACTCTAAGATGAGAAGATGGTCGCATGGTATTTAAATTTCTCCTTGTCCTATCAGCTTGAACCCGCCAGCTGCAAAGGAGCAGAGGTCAGGGTTCAAATTGTGACAACTGCAAATGTCAAATGAGTTTTGTCCCCTACTGGGACTGTCACCTTGGTTCACCGTTAAGGAAGCCAACCAACCGGTAAGGAGATATTGAAAGAACGAGAGAGCGAAAGCAAAGTGGAGAAAAAGGACCCATCTCAAGAGGGTGGGTGGATGAACACATGAAAATTTTGCATTGCATAATGGGACATTGCGTAACGTGTCCCATTTCATACCATGTCACACACTGATATTAGAGTAGGGCCCTGCATAATGCTGCTAGTAGGCAGCCAAATGGGGAGAACGGTTTTTCGGGGGTGAGGTGAAATGAAGGGGGAGGGAAAAGCATGGAGGGCTCATGGTTCTGTCTCCGAGCAGAAGACATGGAGTGACGGAAGTAGACAGCCAATGGGGTGCGGGCACGGTGCGGTGGAGAAAGTGGGAGATGGAAGGGGGGGAGGAAGTGGATGGTGACGGGATGGAGATCGTGTGTGTGTGTGTGTGTGTGTGAGACGGTGGGTGGGCGAGAGCACGGTCGGTACTGGTATTTCTACCCTGTCACATCGTGTTAGTGTGCAGCCGAGCACGACTGCTGAGCACACCACTCTGGACAGCTCTGCACGCACGGGGTGAACCATGCATGCACACACTTATGCACACACTCACACAAATACCGAGGTATACGTTCACAAGGACACAGTAGCTACACTTGAGTGCGCACACACACTCTCTGTAATCTCCCACGAGGACCGCAAGGACATCAAAAACAAGTGAACACCAACGGAGAATTGACAGAAACCGGGGGAGAGCTCAAACTCAAACTTTACTTCCATCCATCCATCCTTCCATCCTTCCATCAATCTTAGAGCAATATTACTTTTTCCATTTAAATGTGCAAAGGAAAAGAAAAAAAAAGATACAAAATTAATCAAAAAGCATTCATGTTCATAAAATATTGCAATCTAATGTTCCTGGCTCTGTGCTTTAGCAACCCAGGCAATACCTTGTTTTGGAAAGAAGCTCTCAAAACAAGGCAGTCAGCTCATCCACTTTCCGGTCACTATTTGCAACATGGCCTTTTTTTGTGGCCATAAGCCCAAAGGCCTTTACGCAATATTTTCCTTGAGAAAACGATAGCAGGGGTAAGGGTAAGGGTGGGGGTGAGATAGGATGACAGTGTATCATTCACATTGTAGCCCAGCATCCCGTAACCCCCACCCAGCCCCTTTGGGCAGAGGAAACAGGAAGAAGCGAAGAAAGCAGATGGAGGGAAAGAAACAGAGGCGACGAGAACATTTCCTTGCAAATGCTGCACACAGTGTGCCCCGTGGCAAAGGAAAGAGAGGAAGGGTGGAGGGTCCAGATGGATGGATGGATGAGGAGGAGGACTAGGAAGAGTGTCGAGGTGTGATGTGCGGTGACCCGAGCTCTTTAGTGACGCCATAAACATAGAGGCACGCTTCAGCTGCTTTGACCGAGGGAAAAGAGATGGGATCCATCAGCTCTGTGTCCGGCTGTGTGACGGGCTAGAGATCAGCAAGTACACACAGAACTGTACGGGAAAGCGTCAGCATTACCGAGGGTCGGCGAGGTCACGGTTACATAGTTGCGTAACTTGGCCCTAAAAGACTCTAAAGTGGTAATCGAACTTTTCTGGTAAATTAGCACCAGAAAGGCACATTCAGTCTGCAGTGACAAATACATTGTTTGCACCAAAAATGACCTCATGCCTTTGCATGGCTCTCTGAAGGGAAGAGCTCAGAGTTTTGGAAAACGCTGCATTTTACTTTTTTTGCCAACATCCACTCTTATTTTCTTATTTTCATGAGCATGATCAGCAGGTAGCGACTAGGTTAGATTTTTTGGGGAGGAGTTGCTAAAAAGCTGGTGAAGCCAGCTGCAGTCATAAACTGTGTAGGTGTATAACACAGACACAGATACCTGCTAATAAAAATAGAATTTCATTCCCTAATACTTCACAAGCCTTATGACAGATAATTCCAATAAAAATACTACAAAAGGCATCGACACAACAACTGTCACCTCAAGGCACTTTATGATATGAAGAACTTACAATAATAGATGAACCCCCAACAATCAGATCCCCATACCCACCCATACCCCATGAGCAAGCACTTGGTGACAAGGGGGGAAGGAAAAACTCCCTTTTAACAGGAAGAAACCTCCAGAACCAGCCACAGGGAGGGGCAGCCATCCAAGCGACCATTTGGGGGTGAGGGAGGGACAGGAGAGAAAAAAGACACACTGTGGAAGAGAGCCAGAGATTAATAATAGCTAATGATTAAATGCAGAGTGGTGTATAAACACAAAGTGAAGGAAGGTCAGTGAAGAAGAAACACCTAATGCATCATGGGAAGCCTCCAGCAGCCTAGGCCTATTGCAATGCAACTAAGGGGGGCACATGATCCAGTCCTGACTATAAACGTTATCAAAAAGGAAAGTTTTAAGGCTAATTAAAAGTAGAGAGGGTGTCTGTGTCCTGAATCCAAACTGGGAGCTGGTTTCAGAGAAGAGGAACCTGAACGTTGAAGGCTCTGCCTCCCATTCTACTTTTAAATATCGTAGGGACCACAAATAAACCAGCAGCCTGAGATTTTGAGTATAGGCTAATATAAGCTGAAAATATCTGTGTGACTGATTCAGTTATAGATGAATATGTGTACTTGAGTCAGTTTTTCCAGCATTTGTTGTTTTCCTCTGCCATTTCTTCGTTTTGTTTTGTTTTCCAAATATGCATTTGTCATTTGGTTGTCACAGGAAATGCTCTCTGTTTGTTCTCCTGCCATTAATCACTAATCAAACCCCCATGCAAGTTCATTAGCAATAAAAATACATACAAATGTAAGACGTCTTCTTCTGTGACTTGTTCGCCAGTGTTTACTCTAACCCTCGGAGACTTACATCAACATCATTGGGTCACACGCTACCAAAGTCAGTCCGGTAAACAAGCTGCTTGATTTGCTTAGAACTGGGCGCTGTGCCATAAATAAACCAAATCAAAGAGTGACGCAGTAGCTGAGAGTGAGCTGTTCATACTTTGTTTGGAGCAGAGAAAGCAAACTGTAGGAGTGATGTTTCTGAGGGTGGGGGGGTGGGGGGTGAGACATCTTGGCAAGTTTTGTCCCCACACGACTGAACAAGATGTGGGACGCTCAGAGGCACTCCGCACGTGGGGCTGTCACTCAGGTCGGTGTGTACTGAGGGAGCCTCCGAGGAGCGCGCAGAGGACACAGGTAGAGCGCGGGGAGCCCCTGAAGTGTCTCATTCAAGGTGGAGAATGAAAGAGGGGTGGGGAGATGGAGAGAGCAGAGAAAGATGTTATCATTTCCATCTCCTCCTCCGTGTTGGTGTGAGGGGAATCGCAGAAAACAGATGACCTACATTTTCTCTGAGACAGCACCGAAGCCTCCTTGGATTCAGAAGAGAGAGAAAAAAGAACGAGAGAGAGAGTGTGAAGTGTAGGAAAGCATAGAAAGTGGAAAATAGAGAGGGTAGAGAAAGAAAGAAACAGACAGGCTTCCAGTTTGACGAGACAGACTTAAAAAGGTAGAAATGCAGGCGGGCAAAAGGAAAGAGGGGAAGTTTTGACGGTAATCCTCTTCGACTCTTCCTTCCTTCCCTCTCGAGCGGTTATATAAAACACATCTAGAATTCTGCTCTGTGCAACATCAAAGAAGCTGCACCACTTTGCAATCTGCATATATGATGCGTCCAGGGAACTGCAGGAGGGGGTTTGTGTGTGTGTGTGTTTCCTGGAGGAATGCATAAAGCAAAAAATAAGCTCCTTTGGAGATTATTTAGATTATCTTTGTGTTCAGATGAGCCACTTGGACCTATGGATGCTTTGGTGTTCAAATGACGGTCACCTTGTTTTTTTTTATGTTCCATCGCTCTTTCTTAACTGAAAACACAGAACCAGTTCATTCAATTTACCCCAAATGACAAAGCTTTAAAGCAAGTAAGATATTGCACAGTTTCAGTCTGAACTGTTCGTGAAGAAAAGAAGCGAGGCCTAAAAGGATTGATATGCATGAATAAACCCTGCAGTGTAAAAGATACTGTCACTGGGTGTCACTGGGATAATGTGGCTGCAAATTAAGTCATCTTACAGAAGATGAGTGGCATAAGTGTGGGATTTAGTGTTCCACTGCTGCCCCCTACTGTTGACAAGACGAACTTGACAGAATAATCAAGGTCATCATTTTTGCTTTAGTGCAAAATTTCTTTTCAGCAAATTCTTTTGTGGTATATTATTTTAAACTATGGTGTATATTGACTTCTTTAGCAGACTGTAGTCCAAAAAATGTACATATGCTCCTCAGATACTTCCACCACAACCTGAAGTTGATCTAAGATGATTTGAGGCGTGTTACGTGGAACATCAGTGTGTACCCAACAGAAGATGTAATCACTGTGGTCATTATTAAGGCACGGTCATGGTTAGCAACAACTCCCAGGTATGCTGTAGTGTTTAAATGATCATCTGCACCATTCGGCCACTAGCAGCAGGCTGAAGTGTTGATGCAAGGATCCACGCTTTTGTGTTTATGATTGAAACTTTTTTTCCAGTGGCCTGTTGGCCGATTCGGATGAGCCTGTGTCAGCAGTACCCTCGGTTTGAAAGTCTTAGCCAGCAGGAGTGGCACCAGGTGTGGTTTTCTACTGATGTAGCCCATCCGCTTCAACGTTGTGTTGTTCAGAGATGCTCTTCTGCATTCCTTAGTTATAACGAGTGGTTCTTTGAGTTATCTGTAAACTTTCCATCAGCTCGAAGCAGTCTGGCAATCTGACCTCTGCCATCAGGAACTGCTCACTGGATTTTTATTTTTTGTCGGCGTGTGGGAAAATCCCAGTCTGAAATAATCAGACCAGCCCATCCAGCACCAACGTGCCGTGTTCAGAGAACCTTAAATCACCTTTCTTCCTCATTCTGATGGACTTGATCACGTCAACATGGCTAAACTCACCGAGTTGTGACATGTGTACCTATTAAAAGGGCCAATCAGTGAAGGGTAAGTTATATCATTATTACGCAACTTATAATTATGCAACAGTGGTTACACTGCAGGGCACAAAAATTCACTGTCTGGAGTTTCTGGAAGTTTTTGTTATACAACTGGTGTCCCAAACCAGTTTTGTCACTAATCCTGGCAGGAAAACACCTGCTTGCCAGAAATGTGAGGTGAGCAGAGGGAAACCATCTCTGTCATTCAAAAGAACATGAGAGAAATAGCTTTTACACATACACTGCCCGTACCGTCAAGGTCAAACATCCAAGTGAGGTAACAGCAAGCAAAACAAGTTCCTGAGCAGAGGGGGGCTTTAATATTCATGTTGTGCAGCTGAGTGGTGATCAAATGAGACTGCTTTGATTAGAATATTTTACACCACCTGTGCATGTGACACAAGTATTTAGGTCAGAGTCAGTGTTGGAGCTACAACAAAGACACTAAAATGAGACAGGCAAACTGAAAAAAACACCTAGCAACAGCAGTTTTGAGATCAGATGATCGCAAAGGGTAACGTTTTTAAACCGTTAAAGTCTGAACCATGAAATAACTGCCAGAAATGTACAATTTTTTTAACCTTCTTTCAAATGAAATAAAAAAGAAATGAACTAATAAATCTTTTTTTTTTCCAATTTATTGCTTTAAAATGTATTGTGCAATTTATTTAGGTTTTTCAGGAGGAAAGAAAATCCACAGTGATGATGCAGAGGTCTCGAACACTCACAAAAACTCATGTATCAAATATGATACTCTTGGCATTACAGGGTTAAGGCTTTACATAACAATTTTTTTGACTGCACACTGAATGAAATTCAGCGCGATAAACTCATGAACAAAAACAACAGGTTCGTGTCCAAACTTGCGCAGCAACGACTCTGAAAAATGCCACAGAGCTTGTTTCTTATGACATGATTACATTCATCCCCCATGATCCTCGGCCACAAACAGAAACCGCGCGCATGCTGTCTCGTGGTGTGTGGTGTGCCGGCACTAGAGCAACTTATTGACGGTACACTACGATATCCTTTGAAAAAGGGCGCCGGGAGAAAAGCTGCTGTGTCTGATTATTAATAGTGAAATGTGTTGTGACATCAATAAAAGAAAACACCGTTGAACTCACAAAGAGTCTATTCATTCGCTCACGACCGTGTCGGAGACACAAATATAAAAGCTGAGCAACCAGTCCAGCTGCCTGCTGCTGGTGTGCGCCTCTGAAAGTTTCCCAGCCGTCGAGGCTAAATACTCCACTTCAAAAGGAGAAATTCAATTCGTTAAACTCCACTTGAGATCTTTGTTGTATAAGGATGCTGTAGCATTTTTAAATAGGAGTTAGAGTGATGTGAAGTCATCCTTTAAGAAATGTAACACCACTTTTGTAGACTGTACCCTCTATTGAAGGTTTGGACATTTTAACCATGGTTTTGGTTAGCAGATGATTACAAATGAAGATGAATTTTAAAAAAAAAAGGTTAATCGACTGGGAAAAGGCAGTGCAGATATGAATGCGAGTAATGCATTCCTTATACTAAATTGAGTTTGTCCTCTAAGGCTTTTTTTTCTAGAAAGGAAGTGTGTGGATTTTTCACTTCCAGTCAACCCACACTGGGTGGAGTGAGTTGGCCCCGTAGAATGTCAGCAAATCTTACATTAACCATTGATAAAACCATTAGTCACAAGTTATGAACCCCAAATAAAGACATACCAGGCGACCATGACAGGCGTACCTCACAATAATATCGCAATATGGCTTTAATAACCTGATTTAATTCAATTACAGTCATATCGACTGTCCATTCATTAAAAAAAGCAAACAAACACACATTTGAAAAACTAAACAAAACAAACAAACTGAAAGTTACAAGCTCCATCACAAGAGTTGGAAACCGTGATGTAATTATATTTTTATTTTATTAAATAAGTTAGCTATGACTTGATGAAAGCAGATTTTATTTGCTTTGAACAAAAACACAATTACTGTATCACAGTCATGTACTGCATAGTTATCTGAAAAGCTGATCAGCAAACAAAAATAATCAGTGAGTAGAGACTAATTTGTGACTAACTGTAAGTAATGAGTAATGAGCCGAGTGAATAACCTCAGTCTGTGATCTGCTAAGTAAAGTGCTGATGCTAAGTTTTACTTTTAGCTCGTGTGTCATGTCTACATTCAATTATGTTTCCTGTTTTATTTTGAAAGTTCTTTTCATTGTTTTCATAGTTAATCTTAGTTTCCCCTCGCCTTGTTTTTTCTGTTTTGTGTATCAGCTGTAATAAAGGTTCGCTTTGTGTTTAAACCTCAGTTCATGTCTCCCGTGTCTGCATTTGGGTCTGCTTCACAAACACACCAGCTACTCTGACAGAACGGACCCTGAACAGAGGAAGACAAAGGACTAAAATACACAGAAGGATAATGAGGGAAGTGGAAACACCTGGGGAAACACACCTGACACAATTAAGCATGATGCCACAGGGGAAGCAAAACTAAACACGCTGAACACGGAAACACAAGACTTTCAAAATAAAACAGGAAACATAATGGAACATAGACATGACACACAAACTTTACAATGTGGACACATAAAGATGAAACACATGACAGACTAGACAGGAAACATGATATATAAACCAAGGGGTATGGAAATATTAACTAAAATTCATCTCAGATAAACTAATAATAATAATAGAACTTAACACAATTTCAATATAACATAAGAACTCAAAAATACAACAGAAGTGAAAATGGAGACCCAGCCCCCTGACAGTTATAGAAACTCTTAAATCTCTGTCAGAAACTCAAAAACACAGTGAAAAAACCCTGAAAAACAGGGTGACCAGACGTCCCTCTTTATGTGCGACTTTATTCCTTGTACCCCTCCCCTACATCTTGAGACAATGCCACACATTTTGACTAGTACTGCTGGCTGTGCACTTTTCTGAAGTCTGGCATTTGAAACAGAAGGGAAGTTTTTTTCTGATAGTCAGAAGGTTAACGCGCCTAATGATATACTCACAAGTGGCTTCAAGTCGAGTAAAAGCTTTGCAGATTTTGGTGAATACGATGGAAACTACCTTGAATGAAATGAAGCAGCGATATATTCCGAGTAACAGAGTTTGCATGTACATCCTACAATCTGATAACGTGCAGAATTTGGTGTATTTGTATTTTTAAAGTAGACACAAAAATTTCAGACTGCTTCCCAGCATCTCACTTTGTCTTCACATTTACTTTGCTGGGAATTTGGTCACTCTACCTTGAAATAATTCCAACATTACAGATTGGATAGAGACAGATGCCTCCATTTACAAAGCCTTACTTCACTTTCCAGATCTGCTTAAATAAATTAATCTTCACACGCTGCCTCAGGGCGGATTTGTCCTTTAAAGTGGGAACAACACAAACACAAAATGCAATCAGTCTTAACAAGTGTTATCAAGTGAATTCCAGAAAGTTCTCCTTTAAGCCTTTAATCAGTCACCAGAACGAACAAGTCAACAATGTCTCACACGCATCCTTCTTGTCCTTCTTATCATCTGTGTTGTCTTTACTCATTTCCTGAAATTTGATGGGTTAGCTTCCATGCATTTTTTTTGAAGTGTGTAAAAACTCCTAAAAAGGGAAATTCTTTCAAGTGAAATGGAATTAGAAATGTTGCTGTGAGTTTAAAATAGAAAATAGAGGATGCTTTGATTGCAGCATGTGCTACTGCAGAGTCATCTCACACCATAAGCATCTTCCTTCTCACATATTTTCCTCTTGGACTCTTGCACTTGCAATAGACCTTTCGACCGGAGCTGCTTCTCACTGATCCCTTCTTCACTTTCACACTGCTGGCTGTTCTCTCTGACAACGTATTTCCTCCCGATTTCTCCTGTGTCTCCTCTTTCTCGAGGTTGTGGAGGTTCTCGCAGTCACAGTAGTAGATTTTGTCCTCGTCGTTTGAGCAAAACCACTTTCGAGAGCTGTAAAGAAGCTCAAAAAAGCTGGAAAATGCTGATATCACCCCTACAATAAAGTAGAAGAAGAGAAAGATTGTCTTCTCTGCAGGCCGGGAGGTGTAGCACTTCACTGTCAGGGGGCAGGGAGAACGACTACATTCAAAATAGGCTTTTACCTCAAAGCCGTAGAGATACCACTGGGTAAATAGAAAGACAATTTCTGCCACCAAGCGGAAGATCACAGTGATAATGTAAAGCCTCCTTAAAGCTTTTTCTTCTCTGTTCTCGCTGCTCCACCTTTTACTCGATGGGGGGGGATTAGCACTCTTTTTATGCTGGTGTGTGGCGTACACGAGGAAAAGCAGAGAAGGTGTAGCAATGAGGACTATATGAAACACCCAGAATCTGTACTGGGAGATGGGGAAAGCCTCATCATAACACACCTGCTTACATCCTGGCTGGAGGGTGTTACAGATAAATTCCTCCTGCTCGTCCTCAAACATGTCACTGGCCACAGTTCCCAGGATCACTATCCTAAACACCAGCATGAGGAAGAGCCAGAAACGGCCCAGCATCGGCGAGTGTGTCTGGAGGGCATCGAAGAATCCACCGATGAAGCCCCACTCACCCATGACTGCGGCACTGTCAGGTCTGGCTTCTTTTAAGTCTGGAGGCTTGTTCACCTGTCTGTCTCAGAGCAAACGCTGCCTTTGTTTAAAAACACTAAACTAAAATTCTTGTTATAATCTCCCATATATGACTCACAGTGAAACTAAAGCCAATAAAAGTGATCAAAAGAAGTGGGTTCATAGTTTTTGCACTTTAGGTTGATTGAGTTCATATTCCTGCAAAGACAGTAATTCAAGGACATCACTAAAGGAATCAAACAATATCACCAGTCTACAATAAATCTCTATATTTCTTTTGCTTTCAGTTAGCGTAATATTTCAAAGAACTTCTAGGAAGCTGACAAACTTAAATTGTAGAGTATAATAATGCAGTTTTGCAGAATACAGGATTTGTAAATGATTTTGATTACTAAAGGCTGACTCTCATTGACATATACAGGCTGGTTGAACTGCTCAGTCAGAGACACATGTGCTGCCATAATAAAAAAGGTCGAGCACACATTTGATTTAGGATTTAATTTGCAGTATCTAGACAAATGAATGACCTACACCCCTTAAAAAGCCTTAAAATTCTCCTACCATGTATAAGCTCAGATAAACCAGATACAAAATGGTCAATTCTCATGCCCACACGATCTTATAGTGTACTCACCCTTAGCTCTCTCCAAAGTGCCATGTTCCTAAGGCTGGCTGGCACTTATGATTGAAAGGGCGGCAACAGTTGTCAGGAAATTCCTGCTACGTCCTAATCAGTGTCCATCCAGCCCCAGACAGAAGGTGTTTATCCAAGAAAGGCAAACTCTTGATGAGCATTTCCTAAATGGCAGGAAATATCTCTTTTAAGTTGGTCCACCAGTTTCCCTGGTAACCGCATGAGAGGCTGCATGTAAAAAGAAAAAATTGGGAATGTTTTTCCTCTTCATTTAGTCAGCTATCACCAAAATCAAAAGAGCTCATTGGTTTTCAGTTTAGGCTTTGTTAGCTATAGAAATGTTCCAGTAGTTTTGCATTGACAAGCTTTTAAAAGAAGTTTAAGGTTTAAAACAAACATGTTAATGGTATGAAACTCGAGCTGTGCTGTCTGCTGAAGTTACAACAAAATATTACTTGTTTCCCCCTACGTAAATATTTAAATATTTCTACAGAGCTCTGATTTTGGAGGCAAAATATGTGGCAAGTGACATGAAACAGGACACAATAGTAACACAGTAATAGCAACACAACTTCAAATAAACCATATAATTAATGTAAGCAAGTCAAAATTGTGTTTTTTAAAGGTATAACATGACCAGCCAAAAAATATTTACAGGTAAAGGCGAAACACTAACAAGTGGATTATAGAACAGAGTCCCTTTATTTTAGTTAGTTTTAACTTACTGAGTCTTTCCAATTATCTAAGCCATCTTCTTATAGGTTGTGTGTATTGTAACATAACCTTTATCTTCTCTTAAAATTCATCAAACAAAACACATAATTTATAATTCTTGGTAGCAGTTTTGAAGTGAAGAATGGTCTGCTTGCCCATCTTTAATGTTGCTGCACATAAGCAATGTGTTTCTTTGTGAACTTTAACAAAAATCTAAATTGCAATTTGTTATTTTACTGACGTCATAACTTATTTATGACAGTCAATGCTTTTGAGTGCTGTGATATGCTCTAATAACCGTGCAAGACTAAGCACCTGGTTTCCCACAGTCCAGTAGCATACCAGTGCAGGACTCTGCAGTTTCTATCATGTTGTTGAAAGTATGCAAACTAAAATTTGCAAAACATATGTAGCAATATTTATATGACTGTGCTACAGGGACACTACAGTTGTACTTTCATATGTGAATAACAAGACGCACTTATGACTGGATATGGAGAAAAAACAAACATAAAAACCACTTAAACCTCGGCACTCTCTGCTCCCAGGACGCCTGCCAACCTGTCCTCTCAGCACAAATTACTTCATCTGTAAATCAAAGAAATTTTTGAGGATATCCTGCACAGACTCGTACTTTTTCTGGCTGCCCACATGGCTAAATAGAACTTGAAAAACAAATGGAAAAATGTTGATGTTTCACATGGTTTGTAAATATGTAAATAAATTCTTGGGATTTCACAGAAAAGCACCCAAAGACTTTATTCATCCTGCTGTGAGTGTGTGCAAATAAGTGGCAATCGTTACCACAGAGTTGCAGGTGAGGGAGCTCTGAAGCTTGAAGACTTTATGGAGGCCGGCGGCCTCAGCCTCCCTCAGCTTCTCTTCTGTCATCTTGACCACAAAGCGCAGTGTGATGTTCTCTTGTATCTTGGTTTCCTTCCCTGTGTCCCTCATGCTCGCCTCTGTATTTAGTCAGTCTTGTCCCAGTGTTTGTTTACGCTTGTCCACCCTGGTCTCAGTGCCAAATTCACATTTCATTGTCTTTGACTCAGTGTGTGTCACTTCCTGTTTTATTTTGACAGTACCTCATCTCGTGTGTGTCTTGTTCAGTGTTCCTTTCTCTGTCTCTTTAGTTTGCATTAGTTCTAGCTGTGTTCCCTTCTGTTGCCCATCCTCTCGTTATCCTGAACGAAATTCTAACTCTACTCAGTCTACCTCTGCTTGTTGTCACATCATCCCAATTTGCCGTGTTTCCTTTGTTTATCCCTAGTTTCAAGTTCCGAGTTTTACAGTTTCCTGGTTTCCTCCTGGCCTGCATTTTTGTATTTTTTGTTTTACAGTTTCTTGTTACAGCAAATGAAGCTGTCTCCTTTAGTTTATTCCCCTGTCTCCAAGTCCTGTGTGTAGGTTCTACCTTGCCTGCCACACAGAGGTTAATAACTGTCTCCATCAAAATGGTCTAAGAAGTACAACAAATGAATAAGTGTATATTTATTAAAGTCAGTTTAATATACCTACAAAACTGGCAAATCTTGAAAAGAAAAGCATCTGGACTTCTATAAGTTGCTTGAAGACGTTTCACCTCTCATCCAAGAAGCTTCTTCAGTTCTAAAGTCAAATGGTGGAGAGTCCCAGATTTAAGCCCTGTGGGAGTGTCCCCCCAAAGGGACATGGAGCCTCTAATGATCCTCTACTTAATCACATGAGCCAAGGTGTGAAAAAGGGTTTAGGTCACAGTCAGCCAAGACTTCGGGTGAACTCATTGTGGAACCTAGCCCCTATCATGTGATTTCCTGAGGTCAGAAGGCCCAGGATGTGAGTGGGCGTTAAGGCGTCTGGCCTCTCTGTCAAAAAGATTTTGGACAGAGAAGACAGATTGTTTGAAAGAGGAGTGAAAGAAGCCATCTATGTCTACTGTGAACGCCCCTTTTTGAACAGGGGCGGGGGTTTATGACACCAACTGTCTGCCATCGGTAATAGAGTATTGAGATCCCTTCCCAGACGCCTTGGGAAGGGGTTAGGTTCCACAATGAGTTCACCCGAAATCTTGGATGATTGTGACCTACACCCATTTTCACACCTTGGCTCATGTGATTAGGTAGAGGATCATTAGGGGCTCCATGTCCCTTTGGGGGGACACTCCCACAGGGCTTAAATCTGGGACTCTCCACCATTTGACCCTAGAACTGAAGAAGCTTCTCGGATATGTCATGATCTGAGGAGGCAGACCGTGCGGTGGTGTGTGTGGTGGACCCAGGTGCGAACACACGAGAGTAGACTGGAGTAAACTTAACTGAAAGCAAGCCTTTATGGTGGCTGATGACAAGGAGTGCAGACAAGGCAGAAACGCAGTGACAAACTAAACTATGACTAAACTGGGAAAGTAAAACTAGGAAAAACTATGAAGACACAGGAAACCATAACTATGAATACTAAGACTGGCTGTGACAACATGGAGGGTGGGAACACAGACGACGCGACACAGACTGCATGAAACACAGAGACTAAATACACATCAGGGATGATCAGGGGAAGTGGCCACACATGGGAGCACAGCTGACGCACATGAACCTAACGACAGGACAGGAGAAGTGAAACTCAATACGCTGACAATGAATACAGACTTTCAAAGTAAAACGGGAAACATGGAGATTAGACATGACAAGAACTAAACATAACCACGCAGACATGACGCATGAACCAGGGAGACTTAGTACAGGGGGAGATGACATAAACAACTAAGGAACAAAACTAAACTGCAATCTAGAAATTAACTAGGTGAACTAAGCTAGGTGTAAATGAATACAAAAGATACATGAAACTCAAATACTGGGTCGCTTGACCCAGGACCATGACAGGATAAGAGGTGAAATGTCTTCAAGCAACATAAAAGAAGTCCAGGCACTTTTCTTTCTAGGCTCCTTAGACTATGATGACCTGGATGACTGAGAACCTTCACGGACATGTAGTTTATAAAGTTCCTGCTGACCTGAGCATGGTGAAGGGCTGGCAGAATCCCTGTCAGTGTGACACACACAAATATGTAATTACTTTATTAAATTATTTTTGTTATATATGCATTTAAAAAAAAATTACATTTCATACTAATTAAGTGTAGGTGGTTTGAGTGTCTCAAGTCCTGCATGTTTGGTGTTTCAAGTCAGTGTATTCCACTATTATATTATGTGTCCGATTTTACAGGTCAGGAATGTGTCCAGAAGCAAATAAATATGCTTAAATGACCTCTGAAATTTACCCAATATTATTTCACACAGATGTGTAATGGATTTCACTTTTTTACTTGAACTACAGGTGTGGGTACCACTAGCAAACACTCCTGCTCCTGTAAAGTGTAAAGCTATGTGTACAGTTGCAGCGCCCCTGATTAATTTCTTCTCTTTAAGATGTTTTTTATTTGTTATTTTGGAAAATGTGTTAAGCTAGTCTGAAGTCATTCATTAAAAAATAAGCTATCTCTCTGTTAGCAGCTAACTTGCCAGAGAAGATACAAAGCCAGAAAACTGAGTTAGAGTTCCTGCCTCTGTCCAGCTACAAAAGGGCAATAGGTCCAAAAAAACAGCGTTAAACAAGTTTATCAAGTGTAATCCAGAAAATGTTTCCTCCTTGAACTGTTTACAGCATTTTATCATTTACCAGAACAGTGTCAACAAGTCAACAATGCATCGCATTCGTCTTATCATTTTGTTGCATTTGCTCATTTCCTGATCTTAAGCATTTCCTTGTGATATGTTCCATGGAAAAACTCCTTAACTGTGAAATTATTCATCATTTCAATTTTAAGTGAAGCAGCACGAAGGAATTAGAAATGTGTCACAAATTTATAATAGAAAGAGAGGATGCAGTGATAGCAGCATATGTGATTCAGAGTCCTCTCACACTGTAAGCCTCGAGCCACTCACATATTTTCCTCTTGGACTCTTGGTCCTGTTCCCAGTGTTGGAGGCCTTTCGACTGGAGGTGCTTGTCACTGATTCCTTCTTCACTTGCGCACTGCTTGTCTTTTCTCCTGGTTTCTCCTCTGTCTTCTCTGGCTTGTGGTTGAGGAGGTTCTCGCAGTCACAGTGGTCATCTAGTTCTAAGTGCTTTTGATTTGAGCAAAACCACTTCCTAGAGCTGTAGAGAAGCTCCACAATGCTGGAAAATGCTGATACTACCCCTACAGCAAAGTAGAAGAGGAGGAAGATTGTTTTCTCTGCAGGTCGAGAAGTGAAGCACTCCACTGTTAGGGGGCAGGGAGAACGACTACATGGAAAATGGGCCTCCACCTTGAAGCCGTAGAGGCGCCACTGGACAAATAAAAAGCCAATTTCTGCCATTATGCGGAAGATCAGAGTGATAATGTAGAGTGCCCTTAAAGTTTTTTCTTCTCTGTTCTCCCTGCTGGTCTTTTTCCTCGACGAGGAGCGGTTGGCTCTCTTGTGATGCTGATGTGTTGCATATATGAGGTAAAGCAGAGAAGGTGTAGCGATGAGGACTATATGAAACACCCAGAATCTGTACTGGGAGATGGGGAAAGCTTCGTCGTAACACACCTGCTTACATCCTGGCTGGAGGGTGTTACAGGTAAATTCCTCCTGCTCGTCCTCAAACATGTCACTGGCCACGGTTTCCAGGATCACTATCCTAAACACCAGCATGAGGACGAGCCAGAAACGACCCAGCATCGGCGAGTGTGTCTGGAGGGCATCGAAGAATCCACCGATGAAGCCCCACTCACCCATGACTGCAGCACTGTCAGGTCCAGAGGTTTGTTCTCCGATCCGTCTCAGATTCGCCACCTTTGTTTTAAGAATGAAACTAGAATGCTTGTTATCATAATCTCCAATCCATGACTTTCACTCAAAGTGAAACCAAATCTGGTCAAAAGTGGGCTCAGGATATTTGCGTCTTAGGTGCTGACTGAGTCCTGTGGGCTTAAACTAAAAGCCTACAATAATTCTCAATTTCTGTTGCCTTTAGTTAACACATCAGCTCAAAGAAATTGTAAGAAACTAACAAGCTGATAGTGTGGAGTCTACCGATGCAGTGTTGTCTAAAATGTAGGATTTGAAAATGTGTCTTATACCGACTGGTTGAACTACTCACCTATGATTTAGAGATGTCTGTTCTGCCAAGACAAAACAGGTTGAGCATAGATTTTCTTTTTGTATTTGTTTATTTAAGAAAGACAAAATCTTGATTAGTATTTAAAAAAAAAGTTTCTTTTACTGGACGGAAGAATATCTTTAAAGTTGTACCAACATGTTTCCTGATCACAGCATAACATGTTTTGTTAAATATAAAAATTATACATGTAGTTTCTTAATTTAGTCAACAAGAAACAGAATCAAAACTCATTTTTTGTTTTTGGTTTTAAGTTGTTAGATTAAAAATATTTATTTTGTGACCCTGGATATGGCATTTGTCTAAATTTGATCAGAACTTAATTACTGAGTACTTAAGTAGTAGTTAATTGAAAAAAAAAACCCTTTTAAGTTATATATCATCTACTTTTGAGGTATAACCAATCAGGGAAAAACAATCAACCTTCTCTGTTCCTCAGTCGTCCTCTCACGTGTCCAAACCTGTTTAAAACTCCATTCCCCTCTCTACACAAGTATGTCATCTAGACTAACAACGTTTCCGCTCTTCATCCTCTTCATAGCTTCCCTCCCTTGCTTCTTGCTAATCCTCTCTCATCCTCTACATTACATCCTTAATACAGTCACAACATTCTCCAGATACTCCTTGATAATAAAACATTACTTACATGTAGATATTTCTGGGTGCTGTGTCGTCATGACACCCAGCGCATCGAATGTTGGCTGCTCCTCCCTCTACATACAACATGAATATTACCCAGAAGCAAAATATTTACAATCGTTACAGTTATTCTTAAGCAGGTTTTCCACAGTTGAGAAAACATGGTAGGCGAAGTGGCTGGAAGTAGTGCAAGATATCTGCAGCTTTAGCGGCCGAATTGTCCAAGTGCAGAACACTGATTTATAGTTAGTTTCCAACAAAAGTTAAAATTAACCATACTGTCAGCAGAGGACATGACAAATACTAAATTGTTTGCCATTCAGTTACACAAACTTTATGAACACCACCTTTAGAGGGCATGTATTTTATAAAGCGCCTGTTGACCTGAACGAGGTGAAGAGCAGGAGGGCTGGCACAGTCCATTTGTGAATTCATTATACAGTATATACATGTGTTTCTGTGCATTTCACTCTGTTTGCATGCTGGTATGATTTATAAAGCCGTACAAGTTTGGTGTTTCAAGTCAGTGTGTACCACTATGGACAGCAGAGGGCAGCAGAATGCCTACTATAGGTCTGCCTTGTTTCCGTTGGTGTCATGAGATCGCTATCCTAGCAAGACTGATCAGGCTAACATCGGCATGTTTCTTCTGCTCATTATTTCTGATTTTTCTCAGGTCAGTAATGTGTCCAGAAGCACAGAAAATATCCCTGATTAATTTCTTTTGTTTCAAATGTTGTTGTGTGTTATGCTTGTAAAATATGCTAAGCTAACCTGAGCTAATTCATAAAAATGGTTAACAAAAGTAATAGAAACCATGTGGATGAATTAAGTAACAAAGGAAGCAAAGACTCTGGCAAGGCTAACCAGGCAAAAGGTAGCATGTGTCCTCTCCTTTTTAATAACTTTTACAGGATCATGAGGACCATACCATACGACAAAGTCACGTCCGCTGTCGCTAGCCGCCATTTCTGCCACTTGCCGGTGTTGAAACCTGGTGCATTGTATTGCTGCTGCTGCAGCTGGGTTGGAGACAGAAGGGTAGCATTGTTGGTTTTTACAGGCGTTTTAATCAGTCAGTACAGAAACTTAGGTATTCACAGATTATACAGAGGATATGCTACAATATGCTACAATAGTTTGAGAAATTTTGACTTCTCCTGAGTGGCAACACCTAGTACAGGAGAATACTGCAGCAGGTATTTATAAATCCTAAAATGGAGAGAAACCTGCATCAGTATACACAGTGTATACAGTGTTAGCCTATAACTGTTTCTTACAATTTGTTAACTGAAAGATAAAGAAGCAGGTATTTATTATACGCTGCTGTTAATGTTTTATTACTTTAGTGATATCATAGAATTGATATCTCTACGTGTTCTAATGCAGTGTTTAATTTTTGATTCCAGGCAACTGGAATATGAAGTCAGTTAACGCCCAAGCTGGATGAACCTCCAATCTACCTTTAAATGGACGGGTACCTAAAGCGACCAATGCACCAGTGAGGTCATAATCTGATTCAGGTTGTTGATTGCCACAAAATTCTGGCCCAAAACAATGATGGCCATCATCAGATATACTGCAAAATAAGAAAGAATTGAAACCCAGTACAAGAAAATTCAGTCAGTGTGGCTCACCAGGAACTACAAGAATAATATTAATTTTGTCTGAAAGGCTGCCGTGCTTATTTTTCCTATCAGTACAACCTGAATCCTCTGCTGAGTTAGAGTTTCTGACTCTGGCAGCTACAAAAGGGACACAGTTACGAACAAAACAATCAGCATTAAACAAGTTTATCAAGCGTAGTCCAGAAAACGTTTCCTTCCTGAACTGTTTACAGCCTTTAATCATTTAAACAACAACGTCTTGCACGCATCCTTCTTATCATCAGTGTTTTCTTTGCTCATTTTCCAAACAATCCTTGTAAAGTGTCCCACTGTAAATACTGTTTAACACATCAGCAGTGAAATCATTTCAAATGAAATGGAGTTAGAGATGTAGTCACAGGTTTAAAATAGAAAAGACTCTGAATCACACTTGCTGTGATTGCAGTCAGTCCTCTCACAATGTAAGCCTCGAGGCGCTCACATATTTTCCTGGTGGATTTTTGTACTTGTGACCACTGCTGTAGACCTTTCGACTGTAGCTGCTTCTCACTGATCCCTTCTTTGCTCTCGCACTGCTGGCTGTGCTTTCTGACCTCATCTTTACTGCTGCTTTCTCCTCTGTCTCCTCTTGCTTTAGGTTGTGGAGGTTCTCGCAGTCACATTGGTCATACAGATCCAATTTCTTCTGATTTGAGCAAAACCACTTCCCAGAGCTATAGAGAAGCTCCACAACGCTGGAAAATGCTGATATCACCCCTACAGCAAAGTAGAAGAGGAGGAAGACTGTTTTCTCTGCAGGTCGGGAGGTGAAGCAGTCCACCGTGTAGGGGCAGGGAAATCGGTCACATGGGAACTGGGCCTCCACCTTGAAGCCGTAGAGATACCACTGGACAAATAAGAAGCCAATTTCTGCCACTATTCGGGAGATCAGAGTGATAATGTAGAGTGTCCTTAAAGCTTTTTCTTCTCTGTTCTCCCTGTTGCTCCTTTTCTTCGATGGAGAGGGGTTGGCACTCTTGTTATGCTGGTGTGTGGCGTACACGAGGTAAAGCAGAGAAGGTGTAGCGATGAGGACTATATGAAACACCCAGAATCTGTACTGGGAGATGGGGAAAGCTTCGTCATAACACACCTGCTTACATCCTGGCTGGAGGGTGTTACAGGTAAATTCCTCCTGCTCGTCCTCAAACATGTCACTGGCCACAGTTCCCAGGATCACTATCCTAAACACCAGCATGAGGACGAGCCAGAAACGACCCAGCATCGGCGACTCGGTGTGGAGGATATCGAAGAATCCACCGATGAAGCCCCACTCACCCATGACTGCAGCACTGTCAGGTCTGTCTTATTGGAAGTCTGGAGGTTTGTTCAGCTGTCTGTCTCGGAGCAAAGGCTGCCTTTGTTTTAAAAATGAAACTAGAATTCTTGCTATTATAATCTCCAATATATGACTCACAGTGAGACTGTACCCAATAAAAGTGATCAAAGGTAGCGTCAAGGTGTATCCATCCTAAGTGTTGATTGAGTTCATACTCCAGTGGCCTGAAATAAAAAATGAAACATCACATAAGAACCTGCAAAGACAGCAACTCAAGTATCTGATTAAAGAAATAAAACAATAACAGCAGCCTTCACAGGCATCATGATCTTTGGCGTCACTGGTGTTGTCTAGCCTTTGTCTTTGTGTCTAGTATTTAGTTGGACATCCTCTGTCTCATTATCATTGATTGATTTCAGCTGTGTGTCATACCCTGACGTTTCCCATCTCCCTTTTTATATCATGTGTCTATTTAAATCCCCAGCCTGCTTGTGTTCTTTGTTGTACTGTAGTGTTTTTCCACAGCTGTTTTGGTCCACCTTCACATGCAAAGATGAGATGGAATCAGTAAAGTTTATCTTATCATATAACACATAAAACGAAACCATCTTTCAGAGTTCAGTATAAAAACTGACCTTGGCGCCAGCAATCGTCTCGATATGGCGTTATATGAGGTTATTTGATGAGCTACTATCAGTCGTCACTGAGGGATTGTTTTTTCTTGTAATCAAAGGTTTCTGTACTCTCTTTTTTTCCTTTTTAACAGCTGTGCTCAAATCTACATGTGACTGTTATAAGACCAAACCAACATCTGCGTTATAAAAAAGCACATAGCTCTAATTGAGCCGAACAGCTTTGTGTTGATACCTGCAGCCTTCTTCTTGAATGCAGCTGGTTTCTTTGGTTGAGCCTCTTTGGTTTTACTCTGAGTTTCTCAAACTCATCACACTAGCATTCTGTGGTTCTAACACTTGTAACTTATATATATTTTTAATGGTAATTTGAAGCTTATTTTATGCTAGGCTGCCACTCAATCACACAAACCGTAAAAACAAGGGTATTTAGAGGTCATGTAGTTTGTAAAGTGCCTGGTGATCTGAGCATGGGGCATGGAAGGCTGGCACTGTGACCCACACAAATATGCTGTCGCTTTTGTGAATTAATTATGCAGCATATGCTTGTGTTTCTGTACATTTCACTCTGTTTGTGTGCTGGTATGATTTATAACATGTCCTTCAAGTTTGGTGTTTCAAGTCAATGTGTATCACTTTGGACAGTAGAGGGCAGCAGAATGTCTGCCATGGTTCTGCCGTGTTGACATGGTTCATCATAAGATGGTCATTCTGGGAAGACTGGCCAGGATTAGTGTTGATGCATTACTGACCTGTTAAAATGCATAACTGAACATTGAAGTTTACCTTATCTTATTTAAGGCTAGATTTATGATGTGCAATATATCTTGATGCATGCTCTATAATCCAGTTAAGGAGTTCCCAAAAAAGCTGATCAGTGGGAGAAACGCTGGGAAGGCACCTAAAGAATGCTTCAGGCAGTCCAGGAGAGATTAACTGCTGCCTAAGCAAAAAATCTTAGTGATCCCTTATGTGTCAGGAGTATAGGAACAGCTGAGACGCATTTTCTCTAAACACCGCGTCTCTGTGGCTTTTAAACCTCAAAACATGCGGCGCCAAAAATTGGTCCACCCCAAGGATCGGTTCTCCCGACACAAACAGAATAATGTAGTGTACGCTGTTAAGTAGCAGGAGGATTGCTGTGATTTATACATTAGGGAAACCGAACAATCTCTGCTCAACACAGTAGAGCTACCTCACCAGGTCAGGACTCTGCAGTCTATTTACACCTACAGGCCAGTGGACACTCTTTCAATGATGAGGATGTACACATCCTGGACAGGGAGGAATGCTGGTTTGATTGAGGATTCAAGGAGTCCATGTACATGAAAAGGGAAAGACCATCTCTGAATAGAAGAGGGGGCCTAAGGGTACATCTTTCACCATCTTATAATTGTGTGATTGCAGCCATTCCCCAACTCTGTGAATGGTACTCATGGTCTTGGATCATTGGTCTTTGATTGGTGGTTTTTGATCAATCAACATGACAATTTCCATATTAATGGTCAAGGAACTGATCTCACAGCCCATTGTTTGTCAGCGGTGCTAATTATAGTCATTATGCAAATGTACTGTTTATAAAGTCGGGAAGCCTGCAGTCAGCTGAGACTGAAGAAGTCCCTCAGATATGTGACAAAATGTTTCTCCCACCAAAAACACTACATCCAGATGAACAGAATCAACTTTTTGGGATGTGGTGTATTTAATTTTTTTTTCTTGAGCTACTCCTGTTCTGCCACTTATATTAAGTGTGCTACCATTGTTGGTAGAAACATTAATGTCCTTTAGCAAACACTTCCGCTCCCATACAGTGTAAATTCTGCAGTTCATAAACAGCTCTGATTGCAGTTCTTGTGCACTTGGTTAATCTCTTTACAGTGGGGCAAAAAAGTATTTAGTCAGCCACCGATTGTGCAAGTTCCCCCACCTAAAATGATGA